TGTGTGTGTGTATGAAAACCCCCTATATCCGAAATCCCGACACAGAGAGAGAGAGAGATACCCTTTGAAATCGGCGGTGAGGGAAGATCGCCGGCGAGGGAGGAGTGGCGGTGAGGGGCGAGCAACCATCAACGTCGTTTGAGAGAGAGAGAGAGGGAGGCAGCAGCGGCGGTAAGGGAGGAGGATCGACAGTGAGGTACGAGCGACGGTGAGGGAGGATCGGGGGTGAGGGAGGATCGGTGGTGACGGATGATCGGCGCTGTCATTGTGTGAAAGAGAGAGAGGAAGGCGAAACCCTAGACGGAGAGAGCAGGAGGAGAGGAGACGGCTCTGTTGTGTTTGTGTTGTGTGTGTGTTCTCAAACAAAACCCTACACACACCCACAAATGTTATAGTTAATGAATTTTTTATTAAAATAAAAAATTATTAAAATAATTTTTATAGTTAATGAATTTTTTTTTTCATTTAGTAAGGTTAAAAATTTATTTGTTTCATATTTATTTTAATGAATAAAAAATTATTATTATTTTTTTATTTGATAGAAGTAAGGATAATATTTTCTATTAAAATAAAGTTAATTTTTTGTGCTCAATGAAAAATATTTTTTTGTGACCCTTTTTTTTTTTGGTTACTAAAAATCAAGAACTAATTTTTTGTGGTAGAGGATAGGAAGTGGCAGTAGTGGTGAAAGTGGTGGATAAGAGGTGATAGTGGTGGTGGTAGTGATGGCGAAGGAGATAAGTGGTGAAGTTGTGGTAGTAGTAGAGGAGATAGAATAGCAGTGGTAGAGGAGAGGTAATGGTAGTAGTAGTGGTGGTAGTAATGATAGTTGTAGAGGTGGAGTGAAAACAGTGGTAGTAGTGGAATGGCATTTGTAGTAGTGGTGAATGTGGTAGAGAAGATAGGTGGTGAAAGAGAGATGGGTGAGAGACAGATAGAGAAGAGAGATGGAGAGAGAGAGAGAGAGAGAGAAAGAGAGAGACAGACAGACAGAGACAAAGTGATGAGCGAGAGAGAGACAAAGTGGTCGCTAAAAGTGCATTTTCTTGTAGTGGATAACTCGGTAAATAGAGAAGAGATGAGGGAGAGAATGAGCAAGGTGAACACAATGGGAGAGAGAGACAAACAGACAGACAGACACATAGAGAGAAAGAGAGAAACAGTGGATCGATATTTACACAGTAGTGGTAATAGTGGTAGTAGTGGTAGTGGAGTGGTGACGATGGTAGTAGTAATGGGCGAGAGAGATAAAGAGAGAGAGATGAGTGAAAGAGAGAAAATAGATGAGAGAGGAGATAGATGAATGAGAGACACACACAGAGAGAAAGAGACAAATAGACAGACAGAGAGAGAAGAGTGATGAATGAGAGAGAGAAAGAAAAAAGAGAGAAGAAGATGAAAAAATGGGTGAAAAGATATAGACAAAGAGAGAGAGAGAGAGAGGTGTATTTTTATTCTTGAACAATTTTAACCCAAACCATAGTGAACAATTTGTATTTTAAACAAACCTCAGAGGTGTATTTGTAATTTATCCTAGCCAAAATAATCAGCCGCCTCACAATTATAACCCGTATTATGTACGGGATTTTATAAATTAAAAAATATATATTATAAATATATTAAAATAATTTAATATTTCATGAAATTTATAAGTTAATTTTTATGTTTATAACTTTTTAAATTATTAGTTTAAAAAATTAAAAATATATATATAGTATAATTTTGATAATTTGTAATTAAAAAAAATAAAGTTAAACCTAATTAAATAAGGTTACATGAGTTATGATATACCTCTTCTTGTTATGATAATATACAAATTTAAAAATTATAATTAAGACAAATATACAATTTTATTATTAAATGTAAAGTGAAATGATATTTAATAATAATTGATATGATGTTTCTGTTATTAATCCAATGATTTAAATTACATTTATTTTAATTTTAATTTCATAACTAAAAATACAATATGAGTATAATAGGCACACGGATTTTTAGTCTTTAAAAATCACAGAAAAATATTCTTTATGAATAAGAAGGTTTAAAATTATTTTCAAATTTGCATCATTTTTTTTTTTTTATCTAATTTTATTTTAAATTTAAATAAAAATTTTAATTTGATATGAATTACTTTAAATTTTTATTAAATTTTGTCAATTTTTAAAAGAACTTTCATTCTTATCCATTTTTTTTCTTTTCATCAATTTTGATAGAAAAAATAATAATTTCTAACATCATCTTTTTAAATTTTTATCAAATTATAATTCAATAAAAAAAAATATTAAGGGTTGAAAATTCTCTTAATTGGAATTATAGTGAAATAACATCTTGATATAGTGAAAGTTTGTGTATGTGATTGGTTGAAATGTATAATTTGATTAATTCTATTCTGATATTTGTATAAAAATTGATACTTATGACCACATCATTATAAGTTGGATTTTGGAAAGTTTTTTGAGGTGTGAAACATTTTTCATTTGTAAATATCTTACCTATTAAAAAATAAAAGAAAAAGAAAAAAATGTGTTGTTTTTGGATATATGCTTATCAATTTTGTTTTGTGGACTTAAACAACTAGTGTTTCAATTTAGAAAATTAAAAAGTACATAAAAAAAATTGGGTTTTTTGGGGATATAGAAACCATTTAACTCCTCTATATACTATTTTAAGATGGACTATTTTAATCACATCAAAAAATAGAAATTATATTTGGAGATTATCCCTATATATTATGCTATTATATACAAATATAGCAGTAACAAATTAATTAATATATAAGAAGAGTTATATAAAACTTTCATTTTCAATTAATTGAATTATGATTAACAAACTAACAAATAGCACCAATGATATAATAGAATAGAAATAAAAAACACAATGATATTTAAAATTTTTAAATTTATCTAGTTATACAAAAACGTAATGTTATAGTACAATCTTGAATTCCCAATAAATTTTCATTTCTATCAAATAAAATGACAATAAAAAACAAGAAATTTGATACCCATTTTTTTCCTTCAATTTTACAGTTTTCATTAAAAAAACAAAAATCGATCAAAATCCTTGGCACAAAATGGGCATAGATACTTCGATTGTAACCATCATCACCAATAATTCTCCTCCACCATGTAAACCTGTAAACAAATACATAAATCTCACAAAACTCAAAACCAAAACCAAACCAATAACAAAGAAAAAGAATCATACAGGGAAAAAAAATAAAATTAGAAAACAAATAAATTTATGGAGTGATAGGATATTACCCCCAACAACTTAGACCTCACCCTGCCTAATCCGTCAACTTCTCTGCCGGTGCTTGCGAAATTTAGGAGTTGAAATGACTAATCAGATTATTCGTTAAATAAGATTTGGAAATTGATTAATTTGCCCCATTAAGTGATTTAAAATTTTGATAGATATACATCAAGAAAATAGATAATTATATTATTAAATCATAATTCAAATTTAGATATTGTCATATCTTTTTGAGATCTATACCTAAATCTTTATCTTCTTTATTTTTGTGTGGTTTCTATTTTTTTTTCTTCAATTTATTCAAGGGACATGACCATTCGATCAGGTGCATCAAGGCCTATAAATAGGCTGCGAAATTAGCCATTCTGTTCCATCCAAAAATTCATAATTCATTTCTGCAATTCTCTCTCTCTCTCTCTCTCTTCCTCTTGATTTAGAGTTTTCAATCAAGAGTTTCTTAAGCAAATTTTTTCTTTTCTTATTGGTAATCAAGTTCTGTAGATTTGATTATCAGTGTCTTGATTTTCTTGATTATATCAAGAGCATTCTGGTCTACTGTCGTCAGTGCAGACGCCGGTGGATTTGATCTTTAGATCAAGCTTCATTGTATCCTAGAGGCAAATTTGCTGTAACCCCCTGCCACTACAACATTTTCTTAGTTTAGTGATATTTGAAAGTGCCACAAAACTATTGGTTTAATGACATTTTTTAGTCTTATGGCATTTTGCACAAGTGCCATTTGTATCCGTGCCACGGTAGATATTTGCAAGTGCCACTACACCATCATGGCTAAAAACTTTCAATGACATTTTGATGTCATGGTAGATATTATTTGTGGCACTATCAAGCGCCATTAAAAAAAGAGTTAGTGACACTTACAAGTGTCATTACACCATCAAGACTAAAACTTTTCAGTGACACTTTAATGTCATGATAGGCACTATTCGTGACGCTATCAAGACTAAAGACCACTTTTGGCCCAATTCTATACTTTGGCTACTAATTGTTTTTTAGTTGCTAAAAAACTTAACTTTTGCCGACCAAAATCGAATTTGGTCGCCGAAGATGCACTTTCAACTATCAAAATTTTGGTCGTCAAAAAATTTAATTCCCGCCTTAGGATTTTAGTTCTCCCACGCTAAAAATGACCACTTTTGGCGACTAAACTTATTTTTTGGTCGCCAATTATAGACTTTTGGCTACTAAAATTTTTTTGGTCACCAATTATAGACTTTTGGCTACTAAAATTTTTGTAGTCGGTAAAACCCATATAATCAGCGACCAAACTTATTTTTAGTCGCCAATTGTAGACTTTTGACTACTAAATTTTTTTAGTCGCCAAAAAGCTTTACTTTGGGCTACTAAAAATTTTTTAGTCACTAAAACCCATATAATCAGCGACCAAACTTAGTTTTAGTCGCTATTTATAGACTTTTGGCTACTAAAATTGTTTAGTCACCAAAAAGCTTTACTTTTGGCTACTAATGCTGTTTTGCTTTCAGCGACCAAATTTTTTTTGGTCAGGAAATTTAGTTGCCAAATATGCTTTTTCCTGTAGTGTATATTGAGTTTAATTTATTTATTTTTAATCATTTACTGCATTTTAAAAATTTAGAAAATATATTGGCATTTTTTACTTTTTAAAAAATGCCATTATAAGCTTGGAAAGTTTTTGGCTTAGTGGTATTTCTAAAAATGCTATAAAATATTTGTTTATGACACTTTTCACCTAAGTGCCATAAAAAGTAATTTGCACCTACCTAGTGTCCTGACATTTTTTAAAAAATGCCATTGCTACTAAAGTTTAGTGGCATTTGTTGGTAAATGTCACAAACATAATTTTTTGTGTCATTATTTTATAAAATTCCATAAAATTGATGTGACATTTCTTTATTGAAATGCCACTAGAGCCTTATATGTTTGTGGTTCTGTGGCATTTTTCTAAAACATTTAATGCCAATTTTTATTTTTGTGGCATTTTCTAAAAACATGCCACTAGTGTAGTGTCACTAAAGTGTAAATTTGTTGTAGTGACATTTTTGTTGTAGTGAAGTGACAATTTTTTTAATTGAAATGCCACTAGAGCCTTGTATGCTTGTGGCTCTATGACATTTTTCTAAAAAATGCCACCAAATATTCTTTTTGTGACATTTTTTAAGAACATGCTACTAGTATGGTGTCACTAAAATGTGTTTTTGTTGTAG